GCTTGCGGCCTACACGTGATAAAACGTATCAGGGAGGAGGAAACAAACAGTTCAGTCAGAAAACTGCGATCTATGAAATTATTGATTTATTACAGCAGCAGGAGAGCAGAAGTTACAGTTTGGCGTCTAGGCTGCGAGCTCATCACTCCCCACAAACATAACACATATCAAACTGGCGAGTGATGAATAAAATATCCCCCCCGGAGCATGCAGGCAGGCAGCAATGCAGGGCAGCAGTGGTGCTGACATGCCGGTGGAGAGATGGGATATTTGAGAGGATGTGTTTAGTCTATGATGTCAGGAGACTCGGGTGTGTTAGGGTGTATGATGCAGTGTGCATTTCTCATATGTTTTGAATTGGGCATGATGTAAAATATATATACATGTATAATCTGAGTAACGTCTGGTAAATGCAGTGATTAGCTTTGTGACATTATTCGCTTCCCTTGGATTTCCTCTCACATGCAAATTACTTGGAAGATGTGTTCTCTGCAAGGAGAGTTTAACAGGTGGTGCTGATCTCAGTACTGTTTGATATGTTTGATATGTTTATTGATTAGCATTCACCTCAGTGGAGATAATTATAATTATTAGAATTCCTGTCCAAAAATGGTGGTGACAGATAGGTGAGGCCTGAGGCCGAGAAGTTGAGAGGAGCTAAGTGAACAGAGGACAGACTGGACCAGAGGGCAGGAGAAAGGCAAAGGAAAAAAAGTAGAGCAAACTGAGGAGTGGGAGGATGAAAAGGACAAGATAAAAGATCACTGGGAGACTTAGAGGTGAGTATTTGTGTGTAGAGATGAAGACTAGAACACAAAAACCTAGTGTGGATGTGTTACCTCAGGAGGTGTTAAAGGTGTGCAGCCTGTAGCATGAGCACAGGAGCAGGGCCCGAGCAGAGGAGTGTAGAGGGTTTGCTAATGGGCAACACAGTTACTATGTGTGTTTTTCAGTGATGGTGACAGTGATTAAAGCAGGGACTCAAAATCACAACAATCACGTGACAGAAAACACACAGCCCTATTGTGTTGGATGTATAGGATGTCTGACTTCACAGAGAAACATTAACTGTGATTGCAGCTTGACTATTGAAATGAGAAATATTTCTTAAAATCTGGATTCCTTGAAATAAATTTGAAATAAAGTGGTTTAATACACCCCAAAAACATATAAAAGGCAGTAATTTTGACTTAAAGCACATCAGGGAGAGAATGTTTACTGGGTAGCAGTGTGATACAAGGATCTGGTCAATTACACAATTTAGATACTTTAAATTCAATAAAATTAAATAAAATCAAATAGACTTTTACTCAATATTAAGTCTGCATTTGCATTGACTGGCACATTTATGCAGGAAAGAATATATATATATTTAGGTTTTTTCTATTGACATAAATACTATAAAATATACAAATACCTATATCGTGCACTTTATTTTTGGAAAGTTGGCCACCCAGAGTGAAATAGGTAAAATATTAAAATGTATATGAGTTGGTATGCCTGTATTGCAGGTAAACAGTTTTGTAAGGAAGTATTTTCAGAAATATCCCTGGTTACCTGGTTTTTAGCAGGCGGATGTTGGATAGATATTAATTTAGAAAGCCCCCTGCTGGCCATTATAAAGAATGCAGGTTTAAGTCGCTTCCACATTGGCATCTTTTATGTACAGTCTATAGTCTATCCTACCTTTTATCTGTCAGCATCATTGCGTGGCCTTCTTATTTGTGGCCCCACTCTATGTATGTATGTGTATGGCTGAGCCCCTCCTCCCTGACCCGATTATTGTCTTGTTGAGCAGGATTCTTTTAGTATTCTGTAACCATAGCAACACATCCCTCCATGAAGAGCCGTCTGTCTGCGTGGATCAGCGGCTCCTTACATTCCTCTTCTTGTTTCCCTCTCGGCCCCGCCTGCTTCTTTGCCAATGCATTTCCCCTACATTACCCTCTGCACAAATCGCCACATTTCCCCCTTTACTCTCTATTTTGTTCATCTGACTACCCGTTCTCACGCTGTTGCCCTCTTTCAAACACTCAATACTGACTCTGCATTTTTTCTTTAACCTTTTCCTGTGCGATTTGTCCGTGCATGTTTTGCCCCGCACGCATGTCTCACATGAGTAGCTTTGATATGTGCCTCTCATTGTTGTTATTGTTAAGGCTTTATTGAGTTTACAAAAACTGATTCATTTAGTATCGCGTGTCTGAGAGTGACTGTGTTTGAGCTGTGAGTCCAGCTCAGACTGAAATGCCACAGAACAATACACCATCAGATTGAGAGTGTTTTTTAATGAAGCATATTCAGTCCAAAGCATGAATCTTAAATGCAGATTCTGTGTTTCAGATCATTGTCGTGATATTGTCTAACAAATCCACAGGAGCAGTAGTTCAGTTAGGTCCAGTATAGTCAGAATAAGATTGTTATTTCCAACTACATAATTCATGTTTGGTGAGACATGATCATCTTTCCATGTGCAAACACAGAATACTGGAGACAGACAGAGCAGCAGCAAGACCACTGTACAGAACAGAGCACGCAACAATAATGACAGACTTTACACTAAAAAGAATGATGGGAGGGGCTGGGGTGGGTTGCAAAGTGGCTTGCAGACCAACGCAACCTCGAGGTTTAACTTTATTTTACTCAATGTTGAAAGTAATATTATTTCATTTATCTTCTTTTGCTTTGTCCTAAAGTCAATTATATTGTTTTATTAAGTGAATTTTTTCATGTCCTACTTTTGGTTATGCAGCTTCAGTTAAATCTATAATATTCTTGATCCACAGATAGAGAAACATGCTGAGCCAGGACACCAGTGGAGCATATTCTCTACCAAGTCATCTGGATCTACAACAAAACTAAATCAATTCTTTCTTTGTCCATGCTCCACCTCTCCAACAGCTTCATGACACTTATGGCTCAGACGTTCATGTGTAATCCTGATGACAAGCATACAAACAGCAGATGTTTCAGACACCAGAATCAAACAAGCAAGCTCCTGTGACACTGATCTGTGGTCACGTGTGTCCATGTTCATAAGAAAATGCACCTGTGTGTGAAACATAAATGGGTCACAAGTCACACAAACAGGTCTCTTTAAACTACACATGGCTGTTTTATGTATTTATCTTCCTTTCAGCTCTCTTCTGTCTATTTTTATCTTTCTCTATCCCTCCATCGCCCATCCCTTGATTCAGGACTGTGATTCAGTACATAAAAGGAACAGGAAAACAGCTACAGATGTCCCAGAAGAAATCGCTGGACATTTCTGAGTAAACACCAAGGAGCAACCTTCAGAGGTGGAAAACAAAGACAACGTAGAAATAACAAAAACTGCAGTTCCTCCATGTGCCGCTTAAAGCTGGCTTCAAAAAAACAAAGTTGATCCGCACAGAATGAAACTGCAGACTCTTCTTGCTGTTTTTCTTTCACTTAAGTGCTGCACAGCACTCTAAATTATCTATAATGCCATTTACCTCTTTAAACTATGAACTGCTTGCATTTCAAAACCAACGACACTTAAACCTGTTATGCTTTCATCATTTGTCCTATTCATTGACAAAACCACTTTTCTGTGAGGTGTTTGTACTCACCTGCTCCATAAACAACAGAGTACACAACGCGCTTGGCATGCTCTCTGTCCTCAGATGTCACCTCTTTCTCACTCAACCCCTTCCTGAGAGACAGATTCAGAGAGAGCGAGAGATGCATTATTCCATTAGTGACAAAAATTTCACTAATATTTTATCCATTTTCACTGCTGTGGAAGTGAAGAGTTATGATTTAAAGTCCACTGAAAACACC